GCTCCGGCGGCCGGAAAAACGTGAGCGCTTTACGGTAAAAAAAATCCACTTAAAAAAGTGCGGGAAGAGGAGCGTGTCCTGTGGCGTTGCCCTGAGCGGTGGGAGGCCGGAACTGTCCACACATCCCTTCTCAGGCTCTATGAGAACACCCCAGACTCATCCTCTATCGAAAGTGAATTAACTCAGAACTTTCTTACCTGGGTTCCTTGCCCTGAGAACGAAATCCACTCACACTGTGAGTGTGACATCTGTGTTCAAAATCACCTTCACTGCTTAACTCACATGTGACTCCCTGACAGGCAGGACTCTCACCCCAGGCAGATCACCCCTGCCCGGTACTCCCTGCTAATCCCTCCAGAGCTCTCCAGCCACTTAGGTTAAGCAGCCCTGATTCGCTGACAACACAGATTTCCATCAGCCCGTGACACAACCGACCTATCAGTATTTATACTCGGCTTTCCATTGCCACCGTGTCTGGATGTCCCCAGCACGATGCATCCCTTCCAGGATGGCCAGAAATGACACCAGAAAAAGAGGCAAGAGTCCAGGTGGTACTGTCCCCTAGAAGGACGTGTGGCACTCGTGTTACTGCTGAGCAGACACTCCTGCCTGGGGAGGAGCAGGACAGCCATCTCTGTGGGTGAACAGGAGCCAGACACACTTGTCAGGCTGGGCCTGCAGGTGGTGGGTGCTGCTGGTCACTGCTGCCAGCAGCCCCAGGCCTGGCCAGCCCCCGAGCAGATGCGCTGATGACCCTGCTCAGGTCCCAGCTGGAAGCAGCACTCCGGCTGAAAAATGACAGCTTGTCACCATCTTCCTCACAACCTCTTTCACCATCCTTCTACTTTGCATTCAAAGCTAATCACTCAGTAAACCCAAGCTATCTCCACCTTAGAGGGAGCTGAGACCAAGGGATGTACTTGAACAGCAGACCCCATGGTAGCTAGAAAAGCTGCTTTCATTCTGCATATTCCCTTCCAGAGGCACAGATTAAGGTGGATGGACTGATGGGTCTTCTCCATCTAAAAGTACAAGCCAAAACCATCACAGAGTTGCAGACACTCGCCCTTCCCCCAACACAAGGACACGGTGTCAGCAGTAAGATAGTGTCCATTCCCACAAGTGTCCCGGCATTTAGACATGGAAGGGCACAAAGAGCAGCATTTTCAGGCAGGCCAGAACTGAATCTCACTACTACCCTGGCTGATTTCAGCCACCCTCAAGAACCCCACACAGCCTGTGAGGATGTTGCCATGTGCCAGCTGCCAGGCTTCAGAGGGGAGCTGTACTGGAGCCATGCTGCAGGGAATCAGACCCAGACAGGGAGGACGACAAGCACCTCTTACACTAACACTGCTGCAGCCATGTGAGATGCAGCAGTGAGGCAAGTATTTGCTGTCTGGACAACGGTTCAGTGAAACTTAACAGGGCCAAGGAGAAAGTCTGCCAGACATGCCTCCTAGACACTCCAAGCAGCTCTTCTATAGCACGCTTTGGCAGCAGGGGATTACCAGCAGCTTTGGCTGGGAGCTTCAGTCACCTCTGTGAAACTGCCTGGGCTGTAGGTACAGGCAGGGCACAATCCACAGCCCTTCCTGGGGACAGAGTTATGTGCTACTGATTCCTAAGGATTAAAGCCAGCCTCCTCTTAACAGTTATACTTAAAAAGAATCTCCTTTACCTAAGTGGATTCATTAGAACACTATAAACCAGGCATGCAAAGCCACTTGCACTGTGTCACCCCATGCCTGGCAGGGGAAGGGAAGTGGCAGAGGAGCACCAGTCTGCTCCTCAGGCAACACCATGCAGGAAGACCCTGCCCTGAACACAAGCCCCTCTCTGTCCACACACAACAAGCACGAGCGGAGATGGCACGGGACTCCCCAGCTTCCCGCTGGGCACACACGGGTCAGCAGGGCCAGAGGAGCCCTTCCTCTGTGACCAGCACAAAGGAACTGCTTGTCCCCCTTGCCCCTGCAGCTCTTTCAGCCAAAGGGAGGCAGCTTCTACCCTCACAACCACAACAGAAGCTGTAACAGAACCCCCCACTCTGCAGAGATCATGCACATCACAATGCTGCTTTCTCCTGAGCCCATGATCCGTTGTTCCATTCTAGTGAAACCAGCAACCACTGGTCTTAAGTGAGACATCCCAGAAGCTACACACTGAAGCAAGCTTTCCAGAAAATGCTCTGGCTTGTCACCTTGTGTTTGTTCTATTGATCCAAGCCTCTCTGCACAGGGAGCTGAATGCTCTGCTGCAGAAATCAAATACAGAGCACTGGCCTGATAGAAGCAGCACAAATAACACAAAAAGCCTAGAAGGTGAGGCAAAACCAATTCTCCTGTTCTCATAATGCAGTGAGAGACAGTTCTAGGAAAGCTCTGCCAGCCCCATGCTCCAGTATCTTTCTAAACAACTTGAAGGCACAAGTCCCTATGAGCTTGCATAACTCCTCAAAGCTCTTCCACAGTGCTCAGCAGTTGATCACGTAAGGGCCCCACTTTGCTCTGGAGTTCACTGACCAAGGCAGCCTTGAGCTCAAGGATTAGCTGTAACAGTGGAGCAGCCTCTCTGAAGTCAGCTAGTCCAATGAAGGACTGGAGAAGGCTGGAAAAGTACCAAGGCCTCTCAGCCCCTTGCTGGACTGGATCTACATGCAGAATTTCAAGAGGTGAAATAGCAGCACTTAAACCCTCTGTGCACAATCTATGCACGTAGCAGAACCGCAGATGGGAACAGTCTGAAGACCCCCTGGCTCTGGCACAAACACCCTAAGTGTGAACCAGTTGATCTGGTTAAGAAGAGGTTTGTGACAAACCTGCAAATGCTGTCTGGCATTTCCAAAGCTTTGATTTTGATTGCATCACTCACAATCTGATCAGAGAGAACAGGGCTGCTGTGGCTGCCTGAGATACTCACTCCTTGGCCCAGGGCAAGAAATTTCCTGATCAGCACAAGATGCAGGAACAACTGCAAACCCAGGCTACTTTGTAGGCACAACTCAGATACCTGCAAAGGAAAGGGTGGGTATTTTACAGGGATAGTGCTATTATTGCCAAAATGCCAGGAAAAAGCAGCACAACTCCTCTCTGGCCACATGAGAAGGGGCAGAGGTGCCTACACGGGGACACAGGCTGCCAAGCAGAACCAGCTTGTGCAGTCTGCCTGCCCCAGAGGCAGGGCTCTGCCAAGCATGGGCAGGTTGGCTGTCCCACAGAGCACCATGGCTCTCCCCTGCTCACCCATAACATTCCTTTTTCCATCCTTAACATGTTCCAAAACCCTCCTGCTCTTTCTACAAGCATCAGGATTTGCTCTGCCAGCAAATACCTTTATGTGTGGCATTTTCTTTGCTCAGTAGATCACGTGGCAAAGATGGTGCAGAAGTGTTTCCCCCCCCCTCCTCTCACCTCAGAGCAACTGGCCCCTTGCACAATGTCCAGGATTGCACAGACCCTGTGCAAGACCAAAGCTAATGGGGCAAGGTGGAGTTTCCATGGTGGGTGGCCACACCACTGGTCAGTCAGTTCCCACCCAACAGCCTAACTTAAAAACTAGCACTAAACAGGAACAAGAACGCTCAGCTGCGGCTTTGAAAAAGGAGCACCCTGCTGTCTACAGGGGTTGTTCTCGCCTTGGAGGACAGACGTGCTCTGTCCATGCTTGCTGCCAAACCAGCCCAGAGGTGGAGGGGCAGCAGGTCCGCCTGTCGGTCCCTCGGGACCAGCAGGGGACTGCGGCAAGGCTGCAGCCCAGGGCAGTGACAGCCTGCCGGGCCGCGCAGCGCCCAGCGCTCCGGCTGAGCTGCAGGCCTGGCACGACCGGCGCTGGGACAGGCGGAGGGGGCACCAGCAGAGGGGCAGGTCGGCGGCTCATCCGGCACCGCTGCTGGGGGCACTCGGGGACACGGCCCCGCCCC